GTTAAAAATCTGGTAAAATGAATTGTATGCACTCAACAACCATCAAGATTGCATGTACAACTTTGGTTTTTTACTGAAGCTAAGGTGATTGAGATCAACACTGTTCAAAATCATGTATATTTGTACTTTGAAACTGTAATAAAGCTTTTCAATATTATCAATATGAACTGTTAACTGGATTAGATTTTTAATTTTATTATAACTAAGCTCATATTTGTCATGTTTTTACTAATGTTTCTTTGTCTGAACCTTGAAGACCTCGAAAGGTTTCCATATTTTATAACTTTTTGATTTGTTTTTGTTTATATTACATTTTTCCAGCGTGTTTTCTTTTCCTTTTTTTAAGAAAATTAATTTATCCTTGACTTTTATTTTCATCTCGAGGAACTCACGAATGTTTTCCGAAAGCTCTCGAAGTCTATACGAAAAAAAACGATAGGGAGGGATAGACACTGTACCTGGGGCACACATCGGTCCACGGCGAGTGAAATGCTTAATGTTCATTTTCTCGTCACGTAATGTACATTTCACACTGAAAATCATGAGGAAGGTAGGAAACCTGACGATGTGTTGTTATTTGAAAGAAAATCGTCGTGTTCTGTTGTTTTTCGTTGAAAAAGGAGCAAAATTATATTTGTCACGTGACCAGTGTATCCCGCGAGGCGCGCGATAGTGACGTATACCACAGGTAACCCACAGCGCACGCCGATTCGATAACATAATATAAAAGCGTGCGCATTCATTCTTTTCTTTCTCTCAAGCAATAGTTGGGTAGCCTATGGGATTGACGGTGATTTTTAGTATGTTGTAAGCAAGTGCTAAAGAACATTTCTACAGTGAAAAAAAATTCTGTTGCAATTTGTTCAAGCAAAATCCATAGATTGACTGGACTATTAGGAAGAAAATGATTTGCTTCGCTAAATACAGAGAAATGCACAGGAAGACCGTGAAGACGAATTCACAAGTTAACATTTGATAATTACCATAGCAACAAAGGCAGCTCACAGGAAAGTGAGTGACTAAGTGAGTGACAAATCGTTCCCCTACAATAACTCTTCCATTGCTAACGCAATCTCCGAGTTAAAAACGAGACCCCGAGGAAACTAAAGAGATACCTATTCTTTCCTCCTACTTTTGTGTTCAATTCTTTTGTATGTGGTTAGCTATTTAAAGGAATAGTGAGTGTGGGCTATTGGAATTAAAGTGGAATACTTTAAGTCCTTTTCCAAGCCTTTTTAATTGTCTAACGAGAAATTAAACGAAATACAAGAAAATAATACAATATTTCTGTGCTGTATATACACACAAAAACCATCTTCAGATATTTTGGTTCAGTGACCTTGCAAAAAAAAAAGAAAAAAAAAAAGAAAAAAAGAAAAGAGAAAAGAAGAAATTGCAAACGATGCTCCTGTGAATAACAGAAAACACTTAAATTATCATTGTTTTCCTGGTTCCTGGAGCCTCGTCTTCAATTCTTTCGTACATCGTTACTCAACCAAATTTCTAAAGTTGACTTGTTACATGCATCATCAGAGTGACTTTTTGTCGACCATGAAAGAGCATTCAGTTTTCTTTTGTTCTTGATCAAGTAAAGCAAACAAGGAAGTCATCTTGTTTTCATGGCCAACAGATAATTGCTGTAGCATAAGCGATTTACACTGAGTTAAGTTTGAATTCTTGTGTGAACACTGAAAATATTATTACATTCAGGTTGGACTATAAGTGGAGATAATGACAGACCAGGCAATAATGCAAGATAATCATTAATAAAATTACACATACGTGCTTTAACTAGAGTGCTTCCAGTAAAAGCGTGAAACACTAACTACTAAATTGTGCAATTTTGCGCTAGCTGAACAAAATAATAAGCATATAGTACAAAATATTATTACTAACTTTTTACGCTTTTACTAGAGTGAAGTCAAAAAATCAGTGRAATAGATATTACACTAGCTAATACACCTAGTACGCTCTCATACTCCAGTTTCAAATTTTCTTTTGTGCAAGCTTAGCTTTAATCAAGCACAAATTTTTATTGTCTTCTTTGTCAGTAAACATGGTGTTTACATTGAATAAAAGAATATATTACATGCTTTCGAGGTTAAGGCCGCACAAATRCGAACTTGAAACTGGAGTACTGCATGATTTTTTGTTTGTATGTGTTTGTGTGTGTTTGACTGTCAAACTTTACTAGTCAAGTTTTGTTTCACGGGTTAAATGACTTCACTCTAAAAGCACTCTAAACTAATGGTTCATACAAAACTTAAAAATATCTTTAAAATATTAGTACAGACAAGGAAGTAATTCCCTGTACATGTGTGCATTTGCAGAGYATTTGCTTGTCGTCTGTCACTCACTCAGCAGATGGACTTCGGCTGTTTCTTTCATTTTCACCATCATTACCTTGATTTTCATCATGAGATGGTGACCGTGATGCTGACCTTGAGGCTGACCTTGGTGGTGGAGATGGGGAACGGGATCTAGACCTTGAATGCTCACGTTTGCTATCTCTTGATCTATACTCTTCTCTGCTTTTACGAGGAGAATGAGAACGAGACTTTGAACRTGACTGGCGGCGTCTTCTCCTGTTATCAATATGAAACACATGCATAAGGACTTAGAATCTTGCAAACCTTTATTGTGCTTTTAGATACTGTATCAGGGGCGGATGCAGGGGAGTTGTGCACGCACCCCCTTTTCGGACGGTGTAATTATTTYACATATAAGTACGGTATAAACAATCTTTTCCTGCTGTTTACTGTATACTCCTGTTGTACTTTTAACAAGAGAATGATAGCGTGCACAACTTGTGTCTGCCACTATGCTGCTTAACAATCTATTTGAGTAGTGTAATCAAAGATACGTTGCAATAAAAGTAAATTTGCTTACAGTCAAATTGTGAATCATTGTCTTGCTCTAGACAATACGTAGCTAATAAAAAAAATGATCAGTTCCAACTGCTATACTTAGTTTTTAGCTATATATTACTGACAAAACCACCACCCCCTTTTTAACAAATTCTGGATGTGACCCTGTGTATGTGGATATTCAAAAATATTAAGGGGATGGAGTAATGTACCTTGGTGATCTGCTTCTTGACTTGCGTCTGAAATAAAGCAAGTCATGGAATGTAAATACCATTATTAAAAAATAAACTCAAAATCAATGGCCAATGTGTATAGCTGTGAGGCAGATTTKAATGTCAMTAAGGTAATTTCCTTATAAGTCAAAAGTAAAAATGTTTAATACCTTGGACTCCTGCTTCTTGATCTTCGCCTGAAAAATATGATAGGTACACGGCATCAACGAAAATAAAATACTTGCTATACACCTTTCAACAGCAAAAATGTATTGCCCTATTTCATTACTTGACGTCACAGTATGTTTACATTGGACTACATTACTACAAAAGAGGAAATGTGGACCCATTTATATTGTATTCTAAAGTAGAACTTCAATGAATTGTGTTTTGATGTATATCATGTATAAATATGATTGCTAATGTACATTATATTTGATATGCAATCACTCTGATTCCCAAAGACACATTGTCATTATAGCAAACAGGCAAATAAAAGATAACGCAACAGAGTCTCAAGACAGCGATGGAAAGCATTTTTGTTAAAAAATTTAAACAAAAGCACTCATTTAATACTGTTTTTGGATATTTATTTGTGCAATAGCATGCAATATTTAGTGTTCTGGTTAGTGTGTTTAAAGTGCACCTTCACGATTTTTTTTAATCTTTAAAATGAAAATTGAGGTTAATGGAAACGTATCTGGGAAAGAATTTTTCATTTTTATCAAAAAGCGAACTTTTGGTGAGCTTACAAACATACGAAAATTTCTACTTTGAGCTCTTTTTTTTGATTCAATGTTCAAAGCAAGTACTGAATATGTATAGAGCAATTTCCAAAAACATTGTCAGGAAAACGACGAACGGTGATTGTTGAGAGATTGCACAACCAAAAAGGACTATGGTTACACTGTTTTGACAAACAAAATTAAATTTATTGGATTCACCTTGCAAAGAAATGGAAACTAAAGAACCAACTTTTACCACAGACTATCTTACAGTATAAACCAGTTGGCATTTTTCATGAATTAGAGACTTATGGCCACTTTTGGTCATGYAATTGTCTAACAATGAACCTTTTTTGAATAGGTAAATTACACTTGATTGAAAATAACGCTCAGATATACATGTACTGCATGCAGTAACAAGGCGATATTGGCTGCCTGTAAAAATGGTAATCWGACTSAAATTACTTACCTGTCATAACCAACATATCTTGAATTTCTTTTTTCTTTATTTCTCATGGCACCTGGTGCTGAATACAAACAAAATCAAAMATWATCAGGAAACCATTYATTTATTGCAATAAATTCAAATATTATACATCTGRTCAGGGACAAGTCACCACYATGTCAACATTGAATGTCCTAATCATACCCACTGAATGCACAACRTACTGCAAGTAYGTGTACTTACTTTTTCTGTCCCCTTCAGCAAACTGCACCTCTAATTCTCTCCCATGCAACATCACCCTGTCCAGATAGTATAGCGCATCTTCTGCATCACGGATACTTTCAAATGTATTTAATGTTAAGGTTAATCAGGGTTCCCACTCATCTTTAGAAGTAAAATTCCCTGACTTTTCCCTGACCAAAAACCCTTTTTCGATGACCAGGTGACAAGATTATCTTTAGTCCTATAAATACAGCTTGTTGAAGCATGAACCATTTAGAAGCGATATCACTTTTTTTGCAAAGACCAGGAAAAATTCGGTAAAAATTCCCTGACTTTTGATAAATTGTATCCAAAATCAAAATTTCCTGACATTGAAAAAAAATCAAATTTCACTGACTTTTCCCTGACCCTGGAAACCCTGTTAATGTACATGACTTGCTTACATAATAAGCTCAATATCATTTAGTTCTAATTTGGTCGTGGTTTGGAAACTTCTATCACTTATGGTGCTTGTCAATAATAGACTTGCTTGTCTTATTCCCAAATAGCTATTCATTTGAACATGCAGCGACTTAAGATGAAACCTGAAACTCAACCTCTATCCAAATGCAAAGGGTGACGTTGGCTTAGTTGCTTTGGATTCCTTTTAAAWATTCAAAATAGTGCCTACTTGTTTCTGAGTCATACTAACTACAATATCAAGGAGAAACTTTAATTTATAGTATTAGAGATCAAATACAAATTAAGGCTGAAGTGTTAGACGAAAAAGTTTTCATGAATAAAATTGGACTGCTTGTTTAGTGATAGTCAGCACTCACATATGAAAAGCATGTTGTGAACAAGAAAGTCAGATTTCTCTGATTAAAGTTTATCCTTGATAATGGAGTTAGTATGACTCAGAAACGTCAGATATCTACATTATTCTTCATTCTAAATACTATTTCTAAATCGATATTAGTTTCAATAGCACCTCACTAGTGAAATCAAAGTGTTGCATTCCTATGGCCAAGTTCAAACTGTTACAATGGCACACTTCTGCTTGGTTCTAACCAGAATTGCGAGAATTGCTGAGTGCGAGGGAGCCTGGGTTGATGATGTAGATGGAGTAACTCCACCTTTGGTGAATACAAAGTTTGCTATAAAAATTCACCAAATGTCATTTCCAAATCTATTTTTTCTGAGACTGAACGTTGGGCAATCCAACCTGGAACAGCAAATCTAACGCTAAACTAGAGATAAGTCTGACGATTTGAATGTTATTTTATGTCTTGGCTATAAAAATGTAGGCAAAGTGATTGAGAGATTATTCTGGAGGAACAAGTGTTGCGTAGATCTAGGTCTATATTGAGGAACACAAAAGGTTATTTACGGCCCGAGGTAAGTGACTTCTTTTGATATATGTAGGTAGTATTTACAGCTGTTCATGACCAGGTTCTCTTGTTTCAGATTTGACTATGACTGTCATTTCACTGTAGGTATCTATCATTGTCTCTCGAACGACCTACTCCCTCTACGTCATCACCAAGACTTTGATCAGGCACACAGGAATCCCGCAATTGCCTTTCTCCGGGGTTGTTTTCGCTTCAAAATGTAGCTTACATGTAAATAAACGAAATCAAATTTGTTTGTACAAATTGTTATTACTATAACAAAAGTCGTTTCTTTCCAAATATAAAAAAAAATGTCTTTTCTTTCCAAATGTAAAAAAAAATTGGGTGAGGTGGACTTAAAAAGAGCTGAAAAAAAATTGTTTACATAGTCTACTTAAATATCAATAAAGCTAATACTGTACAATCTGCCTTTGGTTAGGGACTATTCACGACGACAATTCCTGTTTGTAGTTTCTTGGATCAATCAAAGTTTCTCTCCAACCCAATTTATAAGCTTAAAATTGTGACTCCTTTTTACTGTAAATTAGGACTGACTAGCAAAAAAGGATATTGTACATAGCAAAAGCCTCTTGGCTCTCTGGTGTAGTAGTCCAGTGGGATATAGACATCTGAAATAAAGCCATACTTTCCAAACATCCGCTTCAGTTCATCAGTTCTGTGCAAGAGACAAGAGATTTTGACTGTGACTGATGCTTGTCAATAAAATCCCACTTTAATTCGTTTAAAAATAGGTATATGTGGAACCGGTTCTTACCTTGTATCTGGGTGAAGGTTTYTGACGTATAAAGAACTGTTTGGAGGCCTTGAATACCGGGACATGTTGGACTTTTCTAAACTTTAGGTTCGAAAAAACTGAACCACGCTGTAGATCACTGAACATGTGCAACAGCAGTAATACTGTTCAGCGGATACAGCTACCATTCGGTAAGTACTTTATGTCACTGTTATGTTGTGTATCTAAAAGTTTTATTTAAAGAATGATAATAAAATACTTTACAGGCAAACATGTGAGCTGTGAAAAATATTATCTAAAATAATAATCATGCTTACTAGAGAAGAATACGATCTATATTCTCACTAAAGAAAGGAATATTATAAAATGTGCTCATAGAGGGGATTGGGTTTCCTTTGTTGGATGAACAAATAAGGCGATTAGAGCCAAATAAGGAGTTGGCGCGCTTCATTTCTCTTGGCGCGAAAGTTTGTAATCGTTGTTGTTAGTGTTCGTGAATTTCGTCGATTGCTCTGAACGAACCTTTATCACACGTAGCTTTTTAGATTATTTTTACCCAGGATTTTAATTAATTCTTTTTAATTTTTAACACATAAGGTTTTTTAGATAAACTTTTAAGTATGGATGTCGAAAAAAGTACTTATTCTCGCAGCAAAAGCACCATTCAACGAAGGCAAACTCTCCAGGATTCACGAGCGAGCAAAAACTCTCCAAGAAAGCGTACTTACCAGAGGTAAATCAGCTGAATTCTTGCACATATTCAGATTGATTATTCCCACTTTTATAACACTCAATAGCTTGAGCTTGTATATAAAGAGGCATTTGGATTTGAAAAAGATATTGCTGAAGACTCAAATTTGGATAAGCCATGTTTGAGCGGCAATCGAATTTGGCGCCATTTCGAAGATGCGTTCTTTCGAATTCTTTAACTTAGATCTTGAACCTCTTTTACCATTTGAAGTTCAAAAGTCAAATGTTCAAATCTGAATATGTTCTTCGTGATACTTAGCTAGATTTGGAAGTGTTATAGATAAATTTAGTATTATAATAGGTTGTTTGGCTTTGTTGCTCCATTTTGAACAGCGTGTTAAAAGCGAGCTTGGCGTTTGAGAATATGCATGCATCTGTTGGTATTAAACAATTAYGTTTTTACTTTAAAGTTTACAAATATATCAAACTATCCAGCTTTTCAAAATATWAAACATTTTGAATGATTGAAACCGAAAGTTTTCTTTACAAGTAAATGTGAGTTATACATCAAGCAATACTCATGCATTGTCCAATTGCCTTTAAAATTTGCATATTTTGCATATGAAATACTAAAAATGTCCTATGCACAATTCGATGTTATTGCACAAAAGCATTAAAATGCTTATTTTTTTTATCTAATGTCATAAATCCTTTGTATTTTTTGTGTGTATTTTTAGGGACCAGACCTCAAGAAAAAATCATTGGCAATCAAAAGATTGCAAAACATCTTCATGTCCTAATGATGACCTGCGTTCTCCTTGTCACAAACATCCACGATTCAAAGCACAGCAAGATAGTACTCCAACAGACAAACCCAGAAGGAAAGGACCATGGAATAAAGGGATTGAGACAAGTCAAGAAGAAACCCAGAAAACTGTACTTGAAAAGAAAGATTTTCCACCTCTTGGCTTCAACATTGAGAGGTAACATAAACAATGTAGAACTTTGTTGGTAAATTTTTAAAGATTTTTGTCTTACATGTGTCTAAAAGCATGTTTGACATGCAAAAGATTTAAATATTATGAAGAAGCTGCATATGCAATACTCAATTTAGGATTAATGCATGTGAAAGAAGATGAAATCCCAATCCATGCATGAACTTCCCAATATTCTCTTGCCATTGTTCATTGGTATGCAGAACAAAACTGATAATGCCAGGTGGTTGGGCAAACACAATGTCCAGTTAAGCTGAAGTTTGGCTTCATTCATTGTCTTCAGTATCATTCCAATCAAGTACACTTTGGTGACATTTTCAAACAATAATCATTTATAACAATGATGACTGCAGCCCTAAGGATGATCATTGGACCTGTAGTTAGCTGATTTATAAAGTACAAAATGAAGATGGTAATACTGGAGCCATTACCACCATGCATGTAGCCAACTATCTGGATAGTTCAAAACATGTAAGTTATTTTTTTTTGTAGATTTACTCCAGAGACAAACAAAGATTGGGGAAGTATAGTTGATGAAGARGAAGAACTTCAGTTAAAGAAACAGAGCAGTAAAGAAAATCAAAAGCCTCTCAAGTATGCCTTGTCCTAGATTTTTGATTATAGAAAATTTAAAACTGTGACCAGTGTTCAAAAGAGATAGGCCAAGACAAAAGCTAGACTGGATACTTAGCTGCAATTAAAAATGGCCACTTATTCTCTAGAAGAATCCATTATAGTAAATTTCATCAAAAATTTGCACAATGTTGGTTTATAACACACCAAAAGAAAAAAAAGGAGCTATTCAGTAAATAGACCTTTTCATAGTTAAAACCAAAGTATGCAACATGTTTGCTGGAGCTCTCAAATGAACATCAGTGCCAAGAAATATAAAAATTTTGACTTTTTTCACCACCAAAAATGTTTTTTATTCATGTTGCAAAAGGATAAACAAGCTCAAAAATGGGTTGTTTGGGTTGTTTCCCGATTTTACCTCACTTTGGTGCAAAACTGCAGACTCCTCGTTCAACTTGTTTCCTAAGCGCAAAAAGGGATATAATTGCACTTTTATGCCAGATGATGACAGCGAAGTGCAGGAGATTGGGTCCTATTTCAGAATGACCGACACACTATTGTCATTTTCATAGCTTCATCTCATCATACGTGTACATACACATGCATACGTCCATAAGTCACCCTTCTATCATTTCATTTTATGGCACACTTCTGGTTATTATGCAGAATAATAATTTTCTACAAACATTATTCTGTTGTCATGCAGTGTGTAGATTAATAACTGTTCAATGTGAGCAAGATTGAAGAGGAAATTCTTGCTGTATTCACTCTGTGAACAGTACACACACTCATTCACGATSTCAGTCTGTCATGTTTTAGGTCCTGATATGATCTCTAACTCTGTACTGATGGCAATGGTGCACTTAAATAATTCTCTTTGTTTTCATTTAATGCAGTTATTGTAGATTGAGGGTAAGATTAGTGRAAAACATTCAAATCCATAGAGTTTTGATAATGATGCAGTAAAATTTGTAGTTTTATTGTTCTGAGCAGGTAGTCTAAGTAAGACCTTGTGGTAGATTTTATATTGTAGAACAAGATCAAATACAATAAATAAATAGATAAATGTAGCAAGATTGTTCATGGACACTACAGTACGTACTGGTTTGAATCACTTTGCAAGTAAGTTCTGATAATTTTCTTCTTAGATTTAAAAGACGCCTCTTGCTGTCAGCATCAGACTCRAGCGAATCCAAAGACACCAATAAGAATGTAGAGCATGGTGAAGAGAAGACAAAACCCAAGGTCCTAAGGCCAATGATTGCAGACCCTCACAAGCTTGCACAAAGACAAAAACAGATAGATATTGGCAAGAACACAGTATCATATGGGCATTACATTAAGACAGTCTCAAGGTGAGTATAAGGATTCTACATAGACCTTGGAGGGCTTTCATTTATAGGAAAGTTATWGTGCTGGTAGAGCATCGGTACTACAAATCTGAAGGTTGTGGGTTCGAATCCCAGCAAGGTCGGAAATAGACTGATTCCACCAGTCTGTCAGGTCGTTTTTTTTTTACGACAAACCGAAAAATAGAGGAGTGAATATTACAACGACTTATGGAATCGGTCTAGGTCAGAAATTAATTTTTCCTAATTTATTTCAAGGGTCTTTCTCCTGGAATACCCACCTTCCTAGCACTGTAACTTTCCTTCATTTAAATGTACTAGTATGCTATAAACACTGTCCAATGTTTCAATCCTAGACAAGAAAGATCAAAGGAAGATCCATGGACACCAGACAAGTTTCAGCAGTGCAGCACCCGTTCATGGGTGGGTCAGATAAAGGTGTGGCGTCGACGACTGCACAGTTACGATTTATCATCKGAGATTAAGGAAGACTTGTTCTCTACATCATCARCAAGGTATGAAGTACACACATTGCCAATGAATTGGGTACATCTTCATTGACCACTCACCCTCAGTAATTCAAAGGGACCATCTAAAGGCCCATTTACACTGGCAATTTTTGCTTCAATTTAAAAAATATAGATTTTGTCTTATCTTTCTGAGGAGTAATTTAATTAGCTTATCTCAGTGTACTGAACAAATGTTTACAAGTTAAYTCTCTGACATTATGCATGACTCAATTGAAATCCCTCCAACCACCTTACYGGCCTTAGTGGGGCATTCACTTTTTTTCTCAAGTGAATAGACTGTAGTGAATGTCTCAGTCACCAGGGACAATTAACAGGTGAATCCCTGGTAGCAAGAAAGTAAGTGAAATTTGAACCCCTTGTCTCTTGATTGACTGGTAACTTTGGCCACAAAGCACATGAAAATTGATAAACATTGGACTCTCATTACCACTGTTCCTAAGTAAAAAAATCATGCCCCGGTAAGGCCCGGAGGGGAAGGGTGTGTGCRGGGGTTCAATTGACTCTAGAATAAAAATGATCACAATCCCTGCAAAAATCACCAGTGTAAATGGGACTTAATAGAGAATGGATGCTAAATAGTCAGCAGATTAAGGGTAAATAAATGTAGAGACATTTAAATGGTAGCCTCTTTAGGTGACTGACCACATAATAGCGGTACCATGTATCTACATTATGATTGACTGTTCCTATAGTCATTGCATTGTAATATAAACTATATGAATTAAATTCAGTTCTAGTCAGACCACTGATGACATTGGCATGGATACAATAGAAGAACCAASACAAACACCAAGAACAATAGAAGACATGTTTGAAGGCTTTGATTTAGACAGCTGTCTGCAAGATGATGGGTACCCTTTGTAATATGATAAGAATATTGGGCTAATTTACAGAGGTTATTATAGTATYCATAGAGATTCATGTACAAGACTTGATTTTAAGCATACTGTATTTACAGACAAATAAGCTATACACCTTGTCTGAATAATTATTCTGAATTTTGGCACGCTATGAAAGAGCTGCTTGTAAATTTGAGAAAGACTTACCTGGCAAATATCTCAATAACTTTTATGGTCATTCAAAACCTGCTTTGAAYTATTATCAAAACATGTGAATACTTTGATCAATAACAAAAAAGTGTGAGGTAAATTGTTCTCATTGAAGGCATTCTATTTTTTCTATTTTACAGTATTTTTAATAGTATGAATTACCTGGTCTAACTTGTTAGATATATTGTTTGCACTCTACTGTTTTTTTAGTTTACAAAATATTTTTAATCTGTCATTATCGTTGTTTAGATATTCATTGCCTGATTTCATACTGTGGRAGACTGGGTCCCTTTTCTTCTGTTCACTCTTCCATTCAAATAGCATAAAGGGAAAATAAGAGTAAATTTTTGCTTTTACAATGTATTTAAATTTAAAACAAACAAACGCTTGAAAGGGATGCCAGTAGACCATGGTCCTATAAACCAAACTATGTTGCTTTTCTCACAGCCTTCATGCAGTCACACAGTTTTGGTTTGGCTGCATGCCTGCAATTCTATACAGTACAATCTTTACTTATATCACAATCATCAAGTGTTGTACAGTACAGTCTCCCATGGTATGAATGAGGCAATGCCTAAAATTGCCATCCTTTTATATATTCACCGTTGTGTTCTAGAGTGACCAGGAAACAMCTTTGAAACACTAACTGCTAATCCGTAATTGGGATTCGAAAAAAAAGATAAGCACTGATTTTGGAGGACTATGTTCACATTATAGTCTCATTTGCGCAATTTGTTATGTCTTTTTCCAGGACACTTACCTCTCATCAGTTCAATCAAAATGTCAATTCATTTTGAAATTATAAAATAACCAATATTATGAATTTTACTGTGATTTTTTTTAATTACTTGATTTTGAAATAGGTATGAAGTTGTAGATCTYAATGTTTATCTCTCATTTGAGAATTAGAGAAATAGAAATTTGATGAAAAAATCACATTACAGACATTACAATCCACAGAAACACTTAAARTATAACAATTAGTTCAATGTTTCTGAATTGGAGAAATAAAAACAGTTTAACAAAACATTGTTTCAACCTTASTATCAGAGACACAAGCAGTGGCCGGTTACCGGTAASTAAGAGAAATTGGCCAAGAGGGGAATGAAACACAACAGGAATGGACTTCAAATGAAATTGAAGGGGAAGAAATACAAAAATGCAAAATATTCTAGCTACCAGTGAAAACTGAAATACATGTAGAGTACTCAAGTGCRATGTCAAAAGRTTTTTTTTTTCGAATTTTYCRGATTGTTGAAATATTGTTAAAGCGCATGGAAAAAAAGTAGCTATCTACCAAATTTCAGTGTCCTAGTGCCATTTATAGCAGACATACAAGTGATTTTATGGTTGGATGAACACSACCAAATTTACAAGCTTTTCTATGTGGTCACCCAACCATAAAATCGCTTGTATCTCTGCTATAAATGGCACTAAGACGCAAATATTTAGCAAGGATGCATTAAAAATGATGCAATTTCAGAATATGGAGGGCAAATTTAAAAACTCAAACATTTTCGTTTAAAAAGGCTATAGAAGAGGTGTTTGCTACTGAGCAATAACAGCCAATGTGTTCCAAAATACCTAGGGATTAGTCTCCTCTCAGCCATTTTGAAGCTCTTTCCCAGGTCTCTCCCCCTAGGGGGGARCAAGACTCATAACGTCTGCGAGAGGAGACTACTGGGGATAGACTTTTGAGTTTTATCTATACTACTAACAGCTCGATGTGATAGCCTGTATAGTAAGGGTGGCATGGGTGGCCTGGTGGTTAAGCTGCTGGCCTCTCACCGCTGTGGTCTGGGTTCGATTCCCGGGCACGGACCATATGTGAGTTTGAGTTTGTTTGATGTGTGGTTCTCTCTCTTGTCACAAGGGTTTTTCTCCGGGTACTCCTTTCATTTATGCCACAAAGGAGATGGCTAGGAATGCCTTAAATTTTTTAGCTTTGCCCCTAGTATGGGCAGGGACACTGCAACAGCATGAGCCAATTACTGTGGACCCTGTACTCTCACACTCACTACCTCTACATTAACTATTTTAGCACATAACACTCCTCACATGTTGATTTTTGCTGAGGGAGGAAAACCGGCTGGCTATGCAGGCTATTTAACTGCATAGCCTAACGTTTTGTTTTGTACCAGGGTAATAATCACTGACTATTTTGCTCATACATGATTTATTTAATAATAGTCATGGTAGTTAGAGTTATTTGTTGATTATATGCCATATATTTCTACTAATATAACTGCATTTCTTCAGATGTACATAAAAAACCTTTAGATGTATGGTGTTTTACCATGATGACAARTACTTTACATATATATATACACAATCCAGCCAAATTTTGCTATTTTGTTCAAATATTGTCCTGATTTTCTCAGTTCTAGTAGATTATTCTTTACAGCAAAGMCTTCTTTAGCAATTAATTTTGGCCTCTTTCAAAGGCATTAAAATGTTCATTTCTTGTGAGACTGGTTAAATTTAGTCCATCTTTCACATCCATTAGAGAGAATATTCATCGCTGGGCAATAATAATTGCATTATGGGTATACATATTACGGTATATGTATGTGAAATTACTTCCCCTTTGGAAACATTTATTTCCRTCAGTTTTTGTGTTGTTCACAATCATAACAGCCAAAGGAAAAGAGCTCATTCAACTGTTTTCAGTGAGCCAAGATTTCACATGTCATTGCATCCATCACCAAAAGTCAGTTGCCTTGTTATTATTACTCCTTGAATTATTTCACTTCTTGCCAACTTTGACCTCTGTACGACAAATTGGGCATGTCCTGTTTGACTAAAAAATGAGGAAAAAAATGTAAGTATTTTTTGCCAATATGTTAAGGTGATGGTACCTTATGATACTGCTGTTAAATGACGTAAAATCTTCAAATATTATTCTCAGACTCATTATCTATTCAGTGCTCTGATAGCAGAAGCATCAAGAACAATGCTGAATGTCTTGATAATTATAAAAACCTGAAACTTTGGATGAAGACTATAAATAAAGCCAATCAAATTCTGTGAAATATACTTCCTCTTTTTTTTCATCATGAATAATTAATGAGTTTGTGTAGTCATTCAAATTCCTTCAATTGAGACAGGACAGAATTTTACAGTACAAAGCAATACAGTTGTAATCAATACTCATCACCACCTAAAATGCTTTGATACACAATGTTTCGATTATTAACAATATTACTTTAAATCAGGCAAAATTACCTTGAGCCACTTGTCAATACATCGTGAATGGTAGTCATGGGAACAAGGCAGTGTTCTCACAAGCTGTTTCTCATCAAAATCAGCCAAGCAAACCACACACCGTCCTTCATCACTATTCTTTTTATGTGCTGCTGTAACTCGGAAGGTTGGAAGTTGATCTATTTCTGCTCGAGTTAAACCTTTTGGTTTGGCTTCTCCTATTTGTTCAGCAAGATTCAATAAAGTCTAAAA